TGAACAACTTTTCTTTCTGTATCTTCATTGAGATATTGACAGTTTTTGGTCAAAAAACGCGAAAATTCATATCAATACTTACACTTTTCTATAAAAAAATCTCAGTAAAAAAGTTCGCTCAATTTTTCCTTGTTTTCCTGGATTATAAGTGTGTTAAAAGACACAAATCGTTTTAAGGACATGACATTACACCTAAAAAGTGACTCATTCAGAAATAGTCTGTTTTTGAATGACATTTCTGAAAGAGACGTTAGCTTACCTAATTATGTACTTCCACATGTGTGTCGACTGTCATCTCTTAAGAGATATTCCTTGTAGTAATATGTACTTTAACTTGCCCGTCTGGTAGATAGAGTAGAAGTACCTACTTCATCATTACCTACCTAGTTTTTCAGTTCAAGAAGTGACCACCTCTTTACCTTATAAAAGCAACACCAAGTTTTATCCCATGTGGGAGTCAGCCTGAATTGGTGTGGTTCACCGAAACGGGCATCAGATATGTGTCATTGAAACTAATTTTTGTTAGTTTATTTCAGCTACTATTTTATTTTCTACACATTCCATAAATATATACCTTTTCTGTGTAAGTTATTTGAAATTACAATTTTACAATTTCGTTTTTTACAATTTTTCTCATATTCATGTACATTTCTGTCAAGCATTAAAGGTACAAGTAAAACCCTTGTTAAAATATTACACATCAACCGTAATTATAGCCCCTACAATAATACCCAACAAAAAGGCAACACGTTTTTATAAAAGAGGATTAATTACAGCCGCACACTTTTTGAAATAATTTATTAAAACACGGCTACCATCCAAATTAATTATCAAGCAAAGAAACTAACCGGCCACAAAAAGAAACTTTAATAACCGGCATTCGTGAACCATTTACGAGCCCCTGTCGTTATTAATTCCTAAATAGTTTTAAAAGAGCTTTTAAACCGTACGAAACCTCCATTTTACATTTGGTCTGTTTTAATTTGCTTCCTCAGTAATTAACCCCAACTAAAAACTAAAACGAAGTTTCTCAAACTTCCATGGCAAAGATTAAGGCCGAGCACCGAGATCATCCTTTACACCGAGAGGATGTAATTGAAAATTCTCACTGGTTAATTAAATTATAATCTGCTACAACAAACAATGTGTAATTTGTTTATTCCAAGCAACTGTTTGAAGTTATATTTTTGTATTTATTTATCTAAAGGAAATCCCAACTAAGTGGCTAGAGATTAATTACACATAGAGGGTGTGAATGAACTTATGTCAAAAATTGAAAGAGGTGAAAAAGGAGCAAAAACTGAGTTAACTGACGTCACAAACTTGTATCGGAAGTTTAGGGTCATAGAGAAAAAGCTAATTAAAAATGTGTATAAGACTGGTTTGGAACTGCTGAAATACATGTATTTTATAGCGGCGAGTACTTACAAAAAGTTCTGTAACACTTTTTACGAGTTTATAGGTTTCTTATGAAGCCGGACTATATTCGAAAGTCAGTTTGTAATACATTGTTGTAGTGATTGCTGTGCTGTTTTGCGAGAGTACATTTAATAGTCGTGTTTCCAAGTTTTCTCTTGAAGATGGCTTATTTATTTAGCAATCGCAAGTGTACCGTGCAAGATATGACCGTATAGGAAATTAAATTTTAAATTGAGTTTCGTGTTCTTTAAACTCGATCCAAAATGGCGCACATGGTCAAAAGAATTCACAAAGTTGCAGAGAAACGGTTTTTGTATAATAACGAAAAAACTACAGGGTCGGAAAGTCCCCATGGTTCATCGGCCGTTACGTGAGAGCGATAAAGTAAGTCATAGAAATCCATGCGATAGAGAAAGATGGCTATAATGAAGGCGTCTATTAGTCACCGCCCATTTCGCCCTTCCACAAATAAGAAGTGGATCTTATTTGTGGAAGGGTGAACCAAAAAATTGTATGTAACCTCAATACTTAAGTTAGTTAACTTACTTAAAAACTACAGACCGACACAAATAAGTTTGCGTCTGAGATAACTCCGCCCTCAAATGCCCCCCTAGTACTCGTCAATCCTCTAATCCAAATCGCCGCGCCTAAGTCTTATCCTTACTTACACATTTTTACGCTTCAAAGATACAATCTTGAACGATTAAGGTATTAATTATACCTGTGTGCACGCGCAACTTGCCTTCGGCTCGCTGTGCAAACATTTGGAGGCGTATTATAATATTGCGTTAAAGCCACTGGTTACATAATAGTTATTTATGTAATAAGAGGGATAAAGGTATTACACCTCGCGTGTGTGTGTTTGCATTATAAACCGAAAGCGATTTCTGGTTACATGCCCTTAGGGTGCCAGATTTGGGAAATGAACAAAACTACTCAATACAGGGTCTCCCGAATTGCGCATGCCAAACTTTACTTTATTCCTCAAATTAGGAAAAAGTTCCTACAAACATGTCTCGAGATATGCTTAATTATCCACATACTTAACAGCGTGTTCTTTGAAAATTTTATAAATTTGTCCAAGCATCCCTGAAGATGTTTGATATAGACGGATGCAACTTATTGTGTTGCGTAAAAAGCAAAAGAAAAATGGCAAAATGTGATCGAATGCATAGATCGTGATTCGCATGGGTTCCCGGAAGACGACCCCGGCAGAGTGGCGCCAAGGACCAGGGACTTCTGCCAGCGACTACACACGAGGACGGAGACTCTCCACCAAACATTCGAACCGACAACACGTCTTTTTCCACAAGCTTAGTTTTCAATAAAAATAGTTTATTTGTACCGTTGAGGGAGCGTTTTATTTTTTTTTATTTTATTTTCAACGGGAATAATAAAGTATTTTATTGAAAACTAAGTTGTATAGATTAAGACGTGTTGACGGGACGACTGTTTGAGGGTTGCTTTCGCTGTACAGCAAGAATAAAACGCTCTTTCAACGGAAATAATAAAGTATTTTATAGAAAACTAAGTTGTATAGAAAAAGACGTGTTGACGGGACGACTGTTTGCTGGAGAGTCCCTGTGTGTGGAGTCGGTCGTAGGTATATGGGTACGCATCTGGTCGCCGGCGCCAGTAGACCCTTGTTGGAACGCTGGTACATCCGGCGGCGTCCTGCTGGCGCTCTTGACGTAATGCTTAAAAATGGGTCACTTGCAACATGTGTACCCATTTTACCATTTTTCTTGAAAATATTGCGTTTTATGAAAAAATATCAAGGGAAACAAATTTAATGGCTTTCTAGCCGACTAATAATTTTTTAGAAATTCAAATATGCGACGATTTTTCCACATGACATAAAACCCCCGAGTACCAAATTTAGTGCTTCTTGTACAACGGGGAGCTGAAATATAAAAAAAGACTATTTCTAGGGGGCGGATTTCGGGGGGCTGTAACTCCGAAAGAGGGGAAAAAATAAAAAAACGGGTTCTCTAAATTGGTCCTAAGAATCTGTGACCAGATTCTGTTACATTTGTTTCGGGACACCCGGAATAGATATATTTAACAATATTAGGTGAAAAACGGTCCTCAAAAAGAAATTGAATTCAAATATATTCATGAATAAAATCAGTTTCCCTATAACATTACCAATTTACATTTTTTTAGTTGGATTACATTCCTGAATGGAATAAAAGTCCCTAGCTTTTTTGTGGCATTCTTCCCTTTCCCTTTCCCTTTATACATTCTCTATTCTTGCTCCAAGGTAATAATTACCGCTCAAATATAAATGCATTAGCGAGATGGGTTTCATCAAAAGGTATCTCTAATAAAAATAGAAGACCGCAGCAGCAGGCTCTTTTGTTTTTGGAATTAGTAACCCTATTATCTTTCTCTCTGTCCGTAATAATATAATAAAAATATACTTTTTCTTTTTACCGAGTAGACATGAAAACGACTGATCCGATTTTAATTAAGCTTATGTAATATTAAAGTAAAAATCTCTGTACGTAATTCGTATTCTCCTTCGTCGTGGTTTATAAAGTTGGAAGTGAATAATAATAAATTAGATTATTACTAAAAGGTAAAAGGAGAGTACCAAATTTTTTTGCAGACTTTTACCCTTGTTGATTACCAATATAGGGTGTAAGAAGTTTGACTGCCATTACTTCAACATGAGATAAAGTAATCATAAATGAACAAATAAGTTGTATATTACAGGGGCGTAAGATTAACAGTTTTCAAAATGCAGCTAGTATTAATATTGGCAGACTTGCCCTACGGAAAAAATGGAAACAACTATTATTGTGAAACATTTAGTAAATTTCAAGACAATTGTTTTCCAGCTTTTAAATAAATAAAATAAAATGTGTCAATTTTATAGTACGAATCTATATTTCCTGGCCTATTGAGTTTTCGATAAAACTGAATTACCCAGTCTTTCTCAACACTTTCAACGATAAGGCACAAGAAATTCTGTTGGTAGTACAAAATTTTAGGCAAACTCTTTGTTCATTGACTATAGGTACATAGTAAAAATCGCGGAACACACTTGGTGGACTGACAAAATTAACAGCTGTAAACAAACTGCTTTACAGATTTCGCTCGAAGTTTGCGACGGAGTATAGTGCAGTGCTACCACCTTTCCATCAAACAAGAAATTTAAATCTAGTTTACGCGGAATTTCTATGTGACAAATGGCTGATACATTTCTAACAAATGTATGCTTTTATGTATTAGGAAAGAAAGATTTTCCTGAAATATAGTTTTATTCCTAATGTCGTTACAGACATATTAATGCACTAAACTCATTAAATGGTATGAACATTTCTTCATATACACCTGTAGACTGGAAGGAATCCATTGTGCATTCGACAATAACTATAATTAATACTTATGAACCATAAAAAACGGTTTCATTTTTCCTCACTTCTAGTTAGAAATATTAAATACTTAACAAATCTTACCGGTTATTACTATTATTAACTAAATCTTGTTTAACTTTTATATTCCCTCATAGAAACTAAATCCGTATAAATACCAGACAAGGAACTAAATTGTTTATCAGTAGTAGCAGTTCACTACCGCAAGTAACATTTCATACATACAATTACATTTCAAAATGGAAAAAATTGTAAGTTTGTATCACATTTTTCACATATTTATTCATTAGATAAAATTTACGAGGACTACAAAATTTTGCAGGTCTTAGTTGTGCTTTCCGCTGTCATTTTGGGCGCTTCAGCTGGACATGTAAGTAGATCACCTTGTTTTTTTGTATATTTTAAAATGTAAATTTAGCTTCAGGACCAAGCTCAATACACCTTTGAGTATGGTGTCCATGATCCCCACACCAACGACATCAAATCGCAGCATGAGCAACGGATTGGCCACCACATAACTGGAAGCTACACCCTGAAAGAGGCTGACGGTACTACTAGAATAGTTAAATACAGATCAGGACCTCACACTGGCTTCGAGGCGGTAGTGGAAAGGATTGGACAAGCCCAACATCCTAGCCAGTATGCTCCTGGACATGGTCATGCGCAAGGTTTCGGAGGAGCCACCAGCCATGTTGGAGGCACCCATTGGTCCAATCAGGGACCTGAAGGACACGGACATTAAGCTGACTACGGTGTACCAATTCGTCTTTTTTGTTTACAAATTTTCTATTTTCATAAGACATAAAATAAAGAGTGCATAATAATTGTGTAATTTTAAATGATACAAATCACATCAGTTAATAAAAATACCACACCAACCAAAGAGATTGGAAGGTGTAGAGGGAACAAGGACTACAATTTTTCTGCACAAAAGTTGCTATTTTTACTTAAATTCTCACTGAAACCTTTAAAATATAATGTAATATTTTCAACGAGTGTGATAAGTGCATGGAAATCATTTACAGTATCTTCAGACAACAAATATGTAAGGTGTAAGAAGTTTGACTGCCATTACTTCAGCATGATATAGAGTAATCATAAATGACCAAAAAAGTTGTATATTTCAAGAGTGTAAGACTAACAGTTTTCAAAATACGAGTATTAATATTGAGGAGTTTCATCATAACGTGACAACAGCGCTTAACCTGTTGATGCACACCACGTGTACACGCGACAGACTTGTCCTACGGAAAAAATGAAAACAACTATTATTGTGAAATAAATAAAATAAAATGTATTGATTTTATAGTACGAATATAGTGTTGTGCTTAAATTTTATCTCGAATTTTAGTGATTATGAATCTCTTAAAACAGGAACTTAACTTTTAATCAAATTATGTATTTGAAGAATATGTAATTAAAGTACCCAAAGATTCACGTGGTCCAAATAATCATACGTATTAAAATTAATTTAGGTACGTACCAAAAAGCAAAATTCAGTAATTTTTAAACGCACAAGTACAAAACAAGCTACAATATATGTTCAAAATGTCCACCACCATTTTCGATGCACGCACGACACCTTCGAATCCAAGTTTCGCGTACTCGCTGGAAATCACCTCAAGAAAAGGAAATAGTGGTATGCAAAAAACACTCCGACACGGTCGAATCCAGATACCAACTGAATTGCGTATTGGTGATAGCTGGACAGCTTAGTACCTCATTATCCGCCGCGCCGTTGTCACATTGCTCGATATGAATTTTATCGAATTTTAAATTTATTACAACGCTAATTGTTTTTTAGAATTAAGCATAAAGGAGTTCAACAAAGTGATAAAGCACTGTATTTTATGGTATTCTATGCACGCAGTTATGTCAGTATTCCTTAATTAATCGAACTTTTGTACATCAGGTTGGAAACTGTGATAATTTTTTTCTTGGAAATGGTTGAGTTTAGGGCCCATGCCATATAAGTTTTTTTTTTGTTTATTTTAATGTATTCTATCGTCTGTTAAATTTAAGGCAGTCAAATTTCTAACATCTTGTATAATATGCCCATAATACTACTAATAAACGATACGTATGTAATGTATTACATAATTAAAATTTGTAATTATAACTTTTTACATATGTGATGCCAAACATTGAAAATATAAAATAAAAATACTACATTTGTGTTTATAATAGCTAAATTAGTTTTAATATTGTGTTATTTATTATATATAATAATTGTATTTATTTTTCTTTATAAAACATAATAGAACTTATTGAATATATATATTTATTTTCAAATTGTACCTGGTAGCAAATTGTTATTAAATTATTAATGGCTATGTATGATGCTGAAATGAACTTACTATTGTTATTATTACTATTTATAGATATAGAGTACCGTATTTATTGGAGAATTATATAATTTACTATTCCTAACTTACATTAGAGTTATTACAATTACAGTATAAACATTAAAACATATTGTTTTTTACAACATAAATTTATTAAAACTGTTATTATAATTTAGAAACAAAACAAAAAGGTAATATACACATTTTCAGTTAATTTGAATGTAATTGCTATCTACTAATTTACAATTAAAACCAATTGTACGATAAAGAAAATAATGAATATTAATCATATACAGCGTGTTCCGATCAAAAACAGACGGAAAGCTGGTGTGTGTAAGGAACCCAAAAATATTGTATTTTAACGAAACATACTAATTAATTAATTATAATTAATAATTAGTTTGATAATAAAATGGAAACGAAGAAAAACTGCATTCATATTAGTTTTTTATGCTGGAAATTATCTTATTTTATACTCTTTGTACAAGGATAATATTACTGATAATGAGTTGGCCCTCTTCTTTACTGTACAATTTTTTGACAGCATCTAGATATGCTTCATATTTGGCTGACTATTCTCACAAGGCATTTACCAGTTCATGCTGTATCTGTATTTACACTCACAACTGGAACATCTTTTCTGGATCAATATGACTTAAACCTGGGGATAGAATTGGACATACCCACTGATGCCATTATTTTCAAAAAATTCATTGACCATATTTGCTCTGTGAGGCGTACTCTTCTAGTCTATGCAATAGTGTTCCTCCCCCCGGTATGCAGGTCCAACATGTCTGTTAAATCCCCACAGTGCAATAAAACGAACCTCCTTCTGGAATCCCATTGAAAGCGATGCCTTTACAAGTTGATACGTCCTACATAACAGCTAAGCAGATAGAGATATCCATTAAAGAGTCCTCCATTATTAAAAGATCCGTACCGCAACAGGAACCGGCCATGTCCTGTTTTAATGTAAGAAAAAGGAACTGCACGACGACGATGCCGGCTTGTTTTGAATGGGCGCTGGATGGGAAACAAAGGACCGTAATAGCCGTCGTCCATGCATAGCGCACATGTGGTCCGCTTATAAGTAATATTAACATCCTATCTGCAAGTGACTATTTTGCCGAGTTTAATGTTTTTCTCGTCCGGACTGGGTAACAGTTTCAGGAGTTTTGATGGGGAAACAATCTGTGCCGTTTAATTTTGGTCGGCCTGCTCTTTTTGTAATATGCTAATAGAGCACCGTTGAATTTAATGTATCTATTGTTATGATTTTTGTTTGTGTTAATTAAAATTTTTTTATTTAATGAATTTATTGTGTTTTGATTGAATTTTAATTTTAATTTTGTTGTAATTTTAAATTTTATTTTGCCTGGACGCCAACAAGAACTTGTCTTGTACAGTAACTTGGTTTAGAGCTGACTCTTCCTCACTAACTTTTGTTGATATGTTTTGAAGTAAGACATTTGTTTAGAAAATGAAAAATTCAATTTAGCATTTAACTAACAGATTGTATTGCTTATTCAAATATTTGCACAATTTAACAAATTTTATTTTAAAGTGATTGTTATTTACGAATTGAGATTTTTTAATTGGCCAATTTTTAAAAGTATGACACTCACGTAATGCATTTTTATGTATTGCTGGTTTCGGAGATACCTTCTAGGTGACGTAATCCTCGTAATGGTCGATGTTGGATTTCAGGTCGTAAAACTGTTCCCATGTGCTTGATTTTCCAATGGTAAATAGGGTTTGCACTTCACCTGCCGTTGTACTTTCTCACTGCACTTCACTAATTTTTATTTGACAATTTATACTTTGCTCTTTTGGTTAAATAACATTTGTTCCCATTATATAAATTTCCAGTAGGTATTTGGTTAGTTGAGAAAATTTTAACTGATGGAAAATTACACTTTTGACATATGGCAGATTACTTCTGAATGTCTTTTGACGTTTCAAAACTGGTAACTAAGTTCACCATTTATTTACTTAATTTTGAGTTGCTTTTGTTTATTTTAGGTGTGACTAAACGATATTTATAGCTTGGCAAATTATGAAAGACCTACTACTACTATAATAATGCTTATACACTACTTGGAACGTAAATTGGAATTTGTATACAGTTTTATATGACTAGAAGGATTTTTTAACACAACACAATCATTTTACATCTTATAAATACTTTTTACACAACAAATTTCACACATTAATGTTGAATCATCTTTTTGACATTTCGAATATAAAATTATACAAAGAACTTCAATTTTGATTCCACATATAAATATAGACTAAAGATATGATAAACTTTAATTATTATAGCCTTAGTTTATTGCATGACTTTTATTTATAAGTGTAACTCCTCTCTCCGTCAATCTATCTGTCAAAATCTTTTTTTTATTTCCTCAAACCAATGTTCCTATATTACACATGACTTTACAAAATTGTACTTTGTACTACTTTCTACCTTTCTACTATATATTATTTCCTTTTACAGCCTATTTAATTTAAAATTTTACATTATTTAGTTTATTGTGACAGATTGATGTGTTCATCTAACGATTTTGCCTTTTTATTAAACAAACTTATTCTATATGTAAATTTTATCCTTCATTTTCTCATGTCTAGTATTTCACATACCCGTTGTCAGTTTTTCTCAACTTTTCTAGCCTGAATATGTTTAAATTTTCAACATTACGTTATGTTATTTATTTATTTAAAGTTTCACCTTAGAATATCATAACACGAAATTACGAAAAATAATAGTTTTCAATCTGTTACAAGAAAATTTGGTGCAATGAAGGTAACACACTTTTTTAAATTATTGATTCAATCTAAAAATATACAGGGGTAACTTCCTCATTTTTCAGGCTACTTGTCTCTGGATGTAAAATTGCAAGTGGTCAAAGTCGACGTTCGATCGTCTTTTTAAAGAGAAGGCATCGAAACCTAAGGAATTTGGCGCTGCCCTCAAACATCTCACATGACAGTATGATGCATCTGCGGTTACTAATGTTATAGAACTTTCCAGTCTGTGTATTCAATATTTTGATTCAATAGTAAACAAATAAATGAAGTGTTAATGTTTGAAACAAACATTTTTCTCTCACGGAAAAAGGTTTTAATACGTAGATCCAGATATATAAAAATATATACATTTTTATTATATTTTTATATTGTACAAAAGAATATCCCAAAGGGGAATCAAGCTGAAATACTAAAGGAATTCGAGAAATCTAATTTTCCCGGGCCATTTCGCCGGTAATAATTTAGTAAACGGAAAGGGATACATATACATTTTTAATGACCGTATAGAGGGACACTTGCTATCTATGATTCCGGGCACACGTCTTCCTGTAATAACATCTCGTAATCCTGTCCGACGTCCCATTAGGCTCCATTTAGTTGGGACCGGGCCCGATATCGGCGAATACTTCGTTCGGAATCCTCGACGTAACCCGCAGGGATGTACGGGGGTCGTACGATGAAAATGGAGGGACAAGATAAGAATTTCCGGTGGATTTTCCGCGCGACGCGTTCGACCAGTTCGGCATGGCGACGAGGAATGGAATGACTGAGAGAAATACGTACGCAAACCCAGGTATTTGGGCAGTTGTATAAATATTTGCATAGTGAGGGTCATATTACGGTAGCTCGTAAGATACAAATGGTTAATTTACACGGGAAGACGAAAAAAACTGTTTATTATCTAGTAATGTTATTATACACAATTGTTTTAAATATACGCATTGTTAAATAATAATGCAACACACTTTGGAATGAATAGAGTTTGAAATTTAATAAAGCGTTTATTCAAAATTTTGTTATATTATTTTTGACTTGAAGACTTTATTAACTCAAATTTATGAATGCCTTTTTTATATAGAATATGTTTTCCACAATAAAGAATATTTTTAACAACAAAATTTGCCTTTTTCTGCTTAGCTTACAAATAATATAAGGAATAATTAAAAATAATTCTATTAATTAACTTTATCTATGCAATCCGGAGTAGGTCTCCTTATATTATTTGTTGCTTATCATTAGGGGCATCCTTACCTCTAAACAAGAATGAAAATTAGTCAGAATTAAATAAAATGGCCGTTCATTTGACAGATTTTCTCAGAGCTCTTCGAAATATTGAATTATTTAAGTTGTTAATGATTGGATTCTGCTTATTTTTGTACAGGTAAGTTCTGTGGTTTGTTATTTATACTTTGCAAATATTTGATGCGAGGGAAAGCATGATTTATTTGGAATAGCTAGCGATATTTTAGTGCACTGTGTTTTAGGTACCTGTTACGTTGTGAAATTTGTAGTTTTCTTCACTGGAAACTACGTAGAAGCCTTGCAGACTATTTATGGGGCCACTAGAAACTGCCTTGGAACTGCTTTCTACTGCTGGTAGTGGAAAATTGTCATGGGTTGCCAAAATAACTTTTTCTGGATTCTGGCAAACTATAGATTTACTGGTAAGTATTTAAATTTCTTCTTGTTTTATTTTTAATTTTTTGGGGGCTGCGTGTCCACGCTGTACATCTTACAAAACCCAAGCCGTAACTAATCAATAATTTCTTTGTTTTTCTCCACCTTCCTGATTATTCTATCTCTAGCTTTGCTTAAGGTCCATGCACAGAAATTTTCAGTCTTTGGATGACCTTTTCAAACACTCTTCACACCACTATTTATAACTAACACATTTTTAACAAATGTCCTTTTACTTTATTTTTATAATATTCTTTATTTTATATTATATTATTTGGGATTTTTCTGTACAACAAAATAGATCACTTCAAACACAAACAGCAAAGCCTACTTTTACTGCTGTATCGTCTGGATTATAAGAATAAAACTAAAAAGAAGACAGACTAAGACTACGACTACAACTAAGAATAAGAGTAATATTAAGACTAAAACTAAGACTATGACAACGACAAAAACAATGACAATGGTAATGACAGCGACAATAATAATTTTTAGTTTATTTTAAACGTATTCAAAGTAAATTCAAAATTTTCTTAAGTGTAGATTATTGTTAATATTAACCGTACCAAATTGAAAAAAATCGCTTAAGTTAAAAGAAGTTATGGCAAAATATAAATTTTAAAGAAATTGACCCCATTAATATCAAGTTGAGTTGAGTTTGAAAAAATGTCATAGGAATTTGCATAATTACTTTTATTATCAGAATTACCTCCTAAATTTATTGGTGATAGTTTCCACGTACCCTGTATAGTTGTGTATTCAATAGTTTTTTAGCTTTCAGATGCTCGGGGTCAAAATCCATCAGAACTGTCAATATTATCCTTTCGAATAGTTGAGACAATAGAAAGTGAAAATGAAAAAAATCAAGATGATGAACACGAAAAGAAAAGCTTGTGATATATTGAATAATTTTTAGTATATTCTCCGAAAAGTTGTTATATTTATCTGTAACAGTTACAACCTGAAATAAAAACATTAGAATTTATTATAATTGTATCTAGTCTACTAACAAGCTTCTATAAGATTGTAATGATCCAATATGTCCACGATTCTTAGTCTTTGGGTAGTCAATATTCCTTCAGTTCCTCCGATATTACGAATTTATTTGTTAGGAGTTTGTACCTTCAGTAAATATGTTAGTTTCCATGTTTTATATTGAAAATGTGCCCATCCCGAGCTTACAACAGTTTCCTATAAAGTCGGAGCAAGGAACGTGACACAAATATTTTACTACCGATTTTAGTATCTGCAGAAGACAAAGAAGTTGGGGTAAATAATGTTTTGAACATGATAAATTTTATCAGATTTTTACAAAACAATAAAAAGGAGCTATAATAAGATATTAGCTAAAAACATGTTATTTCAAATAAAATACTACCCATACAGGGTGAATTTTTAACTTTAATCCCCGGACTGTATTTTTAATACACATGCAACAAAACGAAGTAGGTTTTTAAGAAACCGCACCGAACTGCAGTAAAAATAAA